TACGCGTACGGCCCATTCCAATATATCATTCAATCGAATTCATTGCCACTAGTGATGCCATAATCTGCTCACAAAGAGTACATGCATGCTTTTTGCCAAGCACATGGAATCATGAAAACCTTTATTTTTCAAAAGTAGAAATACGAACGAAATGCATCCACTTTCACTCCTTAATGAACTAAATTTGTTTATGATTGGCCCGCGTTATTTATAGTGTCAAATAAGATTAATGAAAATAGATACAAATGCTTTATAAATGGATTGAATTGTGCAAATAGTGTTAGGTTGTTTTTACAATTTTTAAACAAAATTAAAAATGGTAAAACAAACACCCACTTTCCAAAAACTTGATTTCATCCTCAGCAATCTATGCTCACCATTAGTCGTTTTCTGGTCTACGGTGAAAAATAACGGTAAATATAAAACCCACTGTCTAGTTTTCACTTCTTTCCAAACCAAATTTCATCTCACCATCCATTGTCATCGTGGTCTCCAGTGGAAAAACTGATAAGTGGCTTTTAGCGCTGTTATTGTTGTAATTTTTTTTCATTTATTTTTATCAGACAATAGAAAACAACTCCAAATCTTGAACTTCTTGATCTCCAGTGAAAAAACGATAAACGACTTTTATATATGAACTCTATTTGCATCTCTGCAACTCTATAAATATTTTATTTTTTCTTCAAACTAGGTAAGTTGATAGAAAATACTTCAATTTGGAGAGTGAGTTGGTTTTTGGGATTTTATTTAGAAATAGAAATAAAATTATGTCTTACATAATTTATTGATGTAGCAATAAAATTATAGAGAATACTTCTGTTTGACATTCATAAGTTACGTCTGACATAGCAATAAAACTGATGTAGGCCAAAAAGAAACGGTTTTAGGATGAAAGCTTTCTAAATTCATTTGCTCTGCAAGGGAATGCAAATAGGCTGAAGCTGCTAACATAAATTCTGGTTTAATTACTTTTAATTGGGTCAGATTTTTGTCTTATTTGTTGGTGAGAAGTAAAATTATGTGTGTCCACGAAGACAAATGGATGTAGGAGGATTATTTGTTAGGAATTGATATGAAAAGCAAGATGATGTGTTCTTCGTTTGTGCATGGGACTAGATGCAAATCATAGTTACAAATAAACAAATGTAAAATTTATGTTCAATTTATATTTACCATGAAAGCAAATACTGATTAAATCACAGAGTTATTAGTTTGATGGGCTTACTTTCAAGACGGAGGGTCAAAGTTTATTGACATTTTCTTTTATGTTTTAAGATAAAATTAAAGAGAATAAATAAAAATTTTGACTTTAAATAAGCTTCTTTCATTTTAAGGCCAAACCATTTCCAATTTCAAGATGAGGACATGCCGCTTGACATAATTTGTTTGCCCTATTGAAATTTTGTATTAAGGCTGCGTTTGGTTGCTGTGCAATTTTATTTGCACTAGTACAAATGCAAGGGTGTGCAAATGAAAAAAATATAAATTCTCGTTTAACTTTGTTTTGGGTATTACTATATTCTATTTCATATCTTAATTTACTTTATTTATACTGCAATCAAACAAAATAAGTTACATTTTGAAACAAAAATACATCAAAATTTACATTTAAATCATTTGTACTGTCATAGTATTGCATCAATACAAATTTATTTGCATTGCAACCAAACACAGTCTAAACAACAAATTTATGCAATTATTTGTTTTCCTCACCAAAACAAAAACAAGTGAAAGCGACGAGAAATTGGTACAAAGAAGTCTAATTTTGTCTTTTGTGTTTGTCTCGAATTAGCACTCTATTTTGCTTCGGGTTCAGGCTTTCGGGACAAGCCCATTAAAAATTCGAGGAAAAAAACAACTCAAACCTGCTCAAGTTGCACCCCTATTATCTATAAAGACATAGATTGAATAGCTACATTTACACTTCGTGGCAATTATGGTACAGAAATTGTATAAGAAATGAAAAAAAAAACAATCATATTAAAAACATCATATGGTCTATTTAATTTTTATTGGCTTATATTTAATACAATGTGTTTATTAAACATGTTAAAGATGCTACATGTGATGCTTCACTTTATCATTAGATCATTTTGTTTTGTTTTATGGTAAATAGATTGCACCATAGATTTTGTCCATTCAAATATTTCCTAAAATTAAAATGGAAAAAATAAAATTAGAGTTAAACTTTAAAGTCTATTGTTATGAAAAACCCAAGAAATACCGATTTGAATCGCATTCAAAATGAAAGTAAAACAGAGATAAAGAAAAGTAAGCACAAAAAATACACAGATTTACATAGTTCGGGCTTATAACCTATGTCCACGGGTGAATGAGGAGCAGAAATCCACTATGTAGTTAGCAATGGAGAAAAAATGTAGAGTTGTGCATTCACAGAATGAACCCTAAACACCCAAATGTCTCACACACTCTTAACAAACAAAGATAGAGTATGGAAGAGAGAAAACCCTCAAAAATACATAACTCTTTATATTCGGTTTAGATCTATAAATTGAATATGAATCAGGTCCATACCGCCGCAGGGGCTATGCCCCTAACCCATGCCCTACGCTTCCACCACAAATCACTATGAAATTTTGTCTTCGGGTTTTTCTTAAATTATTTCAAGTCAAATTCATAAAACGGGTCATCACAAAGAATTCAAGGCACAAACATAACATCTATCATAGATGTTACCATTTTTTTATGATAAATTTCTAGACCAGATCATACCATTTTATTATGATTTGGCCTGGTTTCCAATACGATTTAAGAGACTGAAAAAGTTATAGAGAAATTAGTCAAGTTTTGTTTTTGTTTTTTTAACTGAAAAACATTTTTTTAATTGTTTTGTTTGATTAGGTGGTGAATGATTAATGTAGTTTAAAAACATTATAGGTTTACTTAATCTTGTATGTATGAATAGTTGTCTTAAGTTCTATATAGGTCATAAAAATTAAATCCAAGTAACATATGTGATATAGTTTGTGTTTTGAATGACTAAAGAATTATGTTAAATGTTTCAGTGTGAAATGAGTACTTCTATTGTATATAATTATAGTACATATGTTTAAACATATATATTATATTTTTTATTAATGATTTGGTTTAATTCATTTTATGGTATAGCCTGATTTTAAAATTCAATAAACGGGCTAAATCAAAATATTATGGTCTGATAAATCTTGAAAACAGGTTAAACCATTTTTAAATTAGGTCGGACCAAACGATCTGTTTCATTTAAATTCAATTATCCGATCATAAACACCCCTAGAGATTAAGGATCAAATATTACTTAGGCTCAGTTTGAAAGGAGTATAAATGCAAATTTGTAGATTACAAATCCTTAAATTTTGTATCATTTTGCATATATTTACACTGTATATTTGTATTTATATTCTTTTCAAACTAAACCTTATTCTCATAACAAAATACTTTTTCAATAAGTTACAACATCATCTGTATTTGCACATAACCATTGTGAGTCTAATTCATGACTCAAGATTCCCTGCCCACAAGAACTATGCCCACGTTTACTCACAATACACTATTCCCGTACATTGGGAACATCTCTTCATACATAATATTATGCAGGTGGATGTGATGTTCTCCATGTGTGATTGCGATGTTATGTGGGTAAATGTGGGCAGAGATCCACACTCTTCCCGTGGTAAGATGTGCATACACTGATGATGTTGAAACTTGTTGGAAATTTTATTTTGGTGCCTGTTTGGTGCATCTTTTTGCACAGTCTTTCGATATTTATAAGTCGGGAAAATCGAAAATCAATCTATTCCCATTTGGCACGCGAAAGATCTAACTGCCAAAAGGCGCGACGCCGCAAAGATGCACGAAGCCTATTTTTGGCTGATTTCGGGAAGCTCCAAATGAAGGTGTCTTTCATGTTTTAATCTCGCGTGGAAAGACCTAAAATGACACACATCTGCCAGACGGTCTTTAAGCTTCCCAGATCTTATGTTAAAAGCTCAATGCATCTATTGATCATCAAAACTACCAGAAAATATGCTCAAAAAGACTTGTCAAACGGGCCCTTTGTTGTGAACATATCTATCCCTTTCGTGATGGTTGCGGGTAGGGTTATTCATAAGAAGGCCCAACCCGACCAACCCGGACCGACCCAACTTGAGTCGGTCGGGTTATCTTCAGCACCGTTCAGTTTCGGGTTGTAAAACATCATAAACCGATGGTTCGGGTCGGTTTTGGTTTTCTTGTGTGAAAACCGAAACCGACCCGAACTGAACTGACTTAGTAGTTAGTAGTTAGTTCCTACTTCCTAGTTAGTAGTTACAACCTACTTAGTTCCTACTTAACTAAGTTGTCTCTATCATAATTACAACCTAACTTAATTTCTAGTCTTCTAGTTATGAATAACATTAATGGCAAGTATTGTAAGACAACTAGACAATGAATTTTTTTGGAAAAGTTTAAAGAAAATAATCAAAAGATCCTAGTTTCTATGGTCTTTTACACCAAATAGGCAACCAATTACAATTAGAATTAGGTGTCATTTTTTACTTAGATTAGAAGGTTTCTTGAAATATATAGACTTCGGTCTTCTTTCGCTAATACAGCTTGACTTTCTATTTTCTTGATAACTTCTATTCTAAGTTTCTAATTTGGTTCACCCCCATTATTGAAATTGAGTTTCTGTCAAGCATGTTTGAACTTAGAGCCGAAACCGACCCAAACCGACCAGATCAATTTTGCTTGATCGATTTCAATTTCAAGTTCAAATAACCTGACCAGGTTGGATCGATTGGATCCAACCCGACCCGTGAACAGCCCTACTTGCGGGACTTGCGGCAACTTCGTTAAGGAAATATAAATAAATAAAAATGGGTAAAAAAGTCTTTTTAATTATTCACTCACGCCTCATGCCACACGCGTGGAGTGGAGTGGCAGTGGTCTTTCTCTTACGCGGCATCGCCACGACTTTTTCCCGTCTTCTTTTCCCCAACGAAAAAACAACAACTACGTCTTTTTAATTTCGGTGTCTTTTTCTCCCTCTCTTCCTCCGCTACTCTCTCCCCAAACCGCCCCCTCCCCCCCCGGGGTATCGCATCTAATTTCATAGACGTCAAAGTCTCACCAGGTTGAGAAGTCCATAGGCACAAAGACTGCAAAAATAAGAAAGAAAGTGAAATTATATATTGTAGAAAGCGAGAGAGAGAGAGAGTGAGTGATAGGCAGATGTTGCGGTCGTGTTGCAGACCATTGGAGCGATGCTTCGGCCGGAGAGGAGGCGACGGCCTCTTATGGCACATGGACTTGAAACCTCACGCCTCCGGTGACTTCTCGATCGCCGTCGTTCAAGCTAATTCACACCTCGAAGACCAAAGCCAAGTCTTCACCTCTCCCTCCACCACCTACGTTGGCGTCTATGATGGCCACGGTGGCCCTGAAGCCTCTCGTTTCATTAACGGCCACCTCTTCCACCACCTCCACAGTAACCGGCCCGACCTTTTTCATGCCCGCCTTTTTTTCTCTCTTCCCTTTTTCTGCATTTGTAAGTCATTATTACTTTTTTTTTCTTAGAGTTTGCGACGGAACAAGGGGGACTGTCTGCTGATGTTATAAAAAAGGCTTTTAATGCGACTGAGGAGGAGTTCTTGCATTTGGTGAAGCGAACATGGCCGGCACAGCCACAGATTGCTTCAGTTGGTTCGTGTTGTTTGGTTGGGGCTATTTCGAATGATATGTTGTATGTAGCGAATCTTGGGGACTCCAGGGCTGTTCTTGGCCGCAGAGTGTCTGAGGGCCGGAGGAATCCGGTGGTGGCCGAACGGTTATCGACCGACCATAATGTTGCCGTCGAGGAGGTCAGGAAGGAGGTTGAAGCGCTTCATCCTGATGATTCGCATATTGTCGTGTATACTCGGGGAGTTTGGCGTATAAAAGGCATAATTCAGGTACATTATCCTTCTTGTTACTCTTTAATTCTTACCTGTTGATATCCGTTGTTTAGGGAGTTTAAAATCAGTATGATGCTGATCAGGGATCTTAATGGACCGGAGAGAGCTTAAATTAAGGTTTTCTTAACTTAAAGGATTTAATGAGTAAAAAAAAAAAAGCTATTATATTGAATTCAAAGGCAAATAGAGTTGTGAATTCACTGCTTCTGTTAAATTCGAATCTCTAAGGTTGTTCTGTGTTAATGCAATTGGTAATTGATTTCGGTTACTTTTCAGATTGTTTTTCTTTTTACCTGCTCTAGAAGAATCAACTGATGTCTGTATGGGCATTATTCGGTGGTATTATCTAGGGTTTATGACCATTTTAACTCTAGATTAAAAATTAAAAAAAAGAAAAATCTTAATAGAACATACATGTACAGTTTAGCCTATCACAAGATTTCTGTCTAGCTACTCCAACTAGAAACGAACGTGTTATTTGGGTTACAGGCTCAAACTTCTGTTTGGACTTCTTAGGTTACTTGGTAACTTCTATCACAAATTTGTGCCTCACATGGGGAGTTGATTGTTTGTTAGAAGCTTGCTTAAGATTACAGGAAATCTTAAACAAAAAAGCAATACTGTGTGTCTAAGAAGGATAGAATAACCATTGATTTTGACAATATGAGCCCCTTGTAATATTTTGACACGAAAATTGGAATTCAATGCTTCAAAAGGAAAGATGCTGAATAACCATTCTTGTGAATTTTAGTCTCCATAAAGTAGAGGGAGCTGCAGACAACAGATAGATTTTCTTGATTCAAATCAAGCACAAAACCCATCTTTTGGCCATTTTCTATATACAGGCTTTGCTTTTATCTTTATCCTTTATCCTTCTGTTGGCTAATAGTGGTCCTTATCTTTCAATTACCTCACCGGTCAAATCTGTTTTTTAGAAAGTGGCAAATAGCTTCACTTTCCCGTTACTAACCTTCCAGTAATTACAATGTCTGCTTCAGGTACACTCTTATGCACATAGACTCGTCATGGAAAAATGATGGTGAGATAAGTCACAAATATTTTTCTTGTTTACCCCATCCTGGCTATCTGAAAGACTTTTCATGGCTTATGATGATACTTCTTGTCATAGATGCAATGTAATGAACATATATGCTCCCTGTGGAAACTTATTTCACTTGTGCCAAACTTATCTTCACTGGTAGAACGCAACCATAATAGCAGCATAGAAGCACAAATGAATTTGCATATAGGACCCACATGGAATTTGTGCCAAAGAGAACATATTCCTTTTGCTGGTTTCTACTTTGTCCTTGGATATCATCCTTTCTTTAAAAGTATTCTATAAATATGCAATTTAGTTTTTAATAACTCCATCCTATTTAGGTATCAAGATCTATTGGAGATATCTTTCTTAAGAAACCTGAGTTCAATAGGGATCCTCTCTTCCACCAATTTGGATCGCCTGTTCCACTAAAACGACCGGTGATGACAGCAGAACCTTCAATCCAGATTCGAAAACTAAAGCCACAGGACTTATTCTTGATATTTGCATCAGATGGACTGTGGGAGCAACTAAGTGATGAAGCAGCTGTAGAGATTGTCTTTAAAAATCCAAGAGTCGTAAGCACCTCTAACTCATATCTGTTTTTTACTCTATGACTATTTTTATTGGAATTAGGTGTTTATTGGAAGGTATGGTAGCTTCCTATTGAGCAGGATGCTCAAAACTGGATATCCCTCATTGTTGTTGACCCACTGTTGGTTATATCAAGACCCCTTTTCCTCTAACGCCTATGATAAATTGGAAGTATTGCTATTGTTTTGGCAGGGCATAGCAAAGAGGTTGGTAAGAGCTGCTCTCAGAGAGGCTGCAAGGAAGAGGGAAATGAGATACGATGATATTAAAGGGATAGAGAAAGGGATGAGGCGGCATTTCCATGATGACATTACGGTAATCGTAATCTATCTTGATCACCATCAAAATTCTTCCACTGGTAGATTCAAGGAGCAATGCACTATTGATTGCACTACTGCCCCTGTTGATATCTTCTCTCTCAACTCAAGACAGACACAGCAGGATTGAAGCACACTACTTCCTGAATCAACATGCCCAGAATGGTTACATGTTGATTTTCTTGTGAATAAGAATAATAACTATAGTGTAGAATATATACATAGGGATGTCAAATGCGAGACAACAATGAGATTATGGATAAAAATACAGCGAAGATGGTGTACATAATCGAGTCGAGTTGGAACTTTGATTAGTCCAAATTAGCATCTATTTCACCCACATTCTGAGTTCTGAGTCTTCTGATGACAATTATTTCACTTCCATGTTTCTCTTCGTTTACGGTCTGTCCTGTCGTGCTTGCCTTCTGGCTGAATTTTTTTCCCCAGAGAATGAATTTGAACTTGGAAGGAAGGCATGATGAATCTCAAAATGCAGACCAACAAGGAGCCCACCATTTTGCAGTCTACTGCCATGTTTATTCTAGTACGAGTTTTGTTTATGGTCAGCTGGGTATTTGTTTCTGGTTGTTGCAAGCTCGATTGAGTGAATTGTAAGGGTAGATTGCTTGATTGAAACCATTTACTCATGAGTGTTTTCTTAAAGCTACTGGGCAACTGGTGTGGGAGACTTTCTTTTACAAGTTAGGGTAACTTTGCTTTCATATGAATCGAGAAAAGTAAAGTGGATCTGATGACAAAGGATCCCAAGTCACGTGATTGATGCTGTGCACGTACCCATTCAATTCATCTCTAAAGTGACATTGCCACAGCTGAATGATTCTAAAGAGTAATGATATTGGATTCATTCTCCAAACCAATGGTCGTGGTTGCTACTTGCTAGTAAAGTTAAAGTATCAACGTTTAAATGAAAACGAATTTGTTTTCTGAAATCTGATATGGACCTCGAGGTCCATACCCTTTGATCAGTTTGATTTGCGCAGTTTCTAACATCTAGCAGGTTGACCACCCATTAAATCCATGGATTGTTCAGTTTGTTGGCGTGTTTATCATTTCTGTGGTCCCGATTTAGGAAAGGTAAGTCGGCTCAGCTTATAGACGGGTTGGTATTTTTGGTAATTTACAGACTACCAACCTTTATTTTTGGGGCTAAGTCTAAGTGACATTTGATCCCCTATCATCCATCTTTTAGATCCCAGCACTTTTCCTCGTCGTTTAATTTCAATAAAGATTTTTATATGGTTGTTGTATATGTTTAACATTTCTAAAATTTCAAACGGCCCTTATATGATACCATTTTGTAGAAATTTGACAGAGAATTTGATGGAGAAAATATAACAAAAATGAACAAAAATAGGAAAATAAAACAAAAAGAAAAAATAAAATTGTACAAAACATAACAAGGAAAATAGGAAAATATTGAATACTGTAAAAAACAAAAAAAATGACAAATATATCAACAAATAGAAATAAAAGAATGGAAATTTTTGTAATTTCATCTTTACCATAAGGCTGTGCTTGGTTGCAGTGCAATTTTATTTGCACTACCAATGCATTTGTACTAGTGTAAATAGTACAAAAACTGCAAATTCTCATTTAATTTTGTTTTGGGTTTTATTTTTATTTTGTTTTATGTCTTAATTTATTTTATTTGTAATGCAATCAAAGAAAATAGGCTAAAATTTAAAACAATAATAGGTCAGAATTTACTTTCAAATCATTTGTATTACCACAGTTTTGCATCAGTACAAATTTATTTGCATTGCAACCAAACACAGCCTAAGATTCTTTAATATAAATGAAAGTTGAGATGGCTAAATGTTAATGCCCCCAAAGTAATTACCCTTTACCTTTTTTAAATGTTAATTAATAGACTGGTTCACTCGAGTAAATTAATTTACCTTTTTTTTAACTTCTATTCCAAACTAATTTAGGTGAGGCCGTATGTAATTTACACTGTACCTTTTTTTAATATTATAAATAGACTGCTTCACTCGAGTCAACTGATTTACCTTCTTTTTTCAACTTTCTTCCAGACTAATTAATAGGGCCGGCCGGCCACCCAAGTTGCATTTACTTAAATAGTGTTGTCTACGGTTTTATTTTTATTTTTCCCTTCTCCACCCACGCCCCACCAGCCACCACGCAAAGGGTCCTTGGGATAAGCTTCTGAATGAAGGGAAAAAAACAAGTTTTCACTAGAAAAGTCCAAAAATGAAAAGCTAAAAAAAACTGTATGGTCCGTTTGGTTTTTGAGAAAAAATGGAATGAAAAAGGAATATTTTTTTTCCATTTTTGCATCTAGTGTTTGTTTTCTGAGAAACAGTATGACCAAAATTCTTTTTCTTTTTTGATATATTTGTTTTTTAAGAAAATTTTACAGGAAACATATTAAACCAACTTTATCATCCTTTCTCACCTCCGTCACTAGCTTGGCATGGTCGACTACATGAACATGTAATTTTGGCAAAGGGAAAATCTTATTCAATCAAAGGAACTTGATACCACATGATCTAGTACTATTCAATCAAGGGAAAATCTTATTTTGTAGGTGAAGAAGGCAAGTTTATTCCAAATCAATGAATTGTAATGTAAATTAACATTCTAAAGAAAATTATTTAAAAAAAAAAACAGGGTAGTGAAAGAAACTAATTACAAAAAAAAAAATATAGAATGTGTTACTTTAAGTCGAAATCACCTATTTTGTTGTTTGTGATGACCTGGAGCAAAAAAAAAAAAAAAATAGCAACACAAAATATCAGATCTAAAATCAACTGAAACCAAAAAATATATATTTGAATCAAAAGCTAGACTATCATGACGGAGAACAAACTCCAAATTTGGAACAAACATATTTTAGAATCCAGATCTAGAGCTCTGGGCAAACAAACTCAAATGCATGTTCACCTAGAAGTAGATCTGGTTCAAACATGTCAGAAGTTTACCTTCGATGATGAGATCTGAATGACCAAGGACGGAGGGAGCCAGTGGTGAGATTTCGAGGGAAACCCATTCAATGGAATAGGTCAAAAACAGCATCAAAAATAATGAAAATGATGAGATAGTGCCGGATCTAAATTTACCATTCAATGAGAACACCGGAGATGATGTCGGAGATGTGACCATTGGATGGCTCGAAGGAAGGAGACGATGTCTATGAAAAGGCTCTCGACAATAATTTCTCACCTATTTGCCTATACTTTTTTGGGAACCTGCATCCCTAATGTTTCCTTTCATTTACTTTCCCAGATTTTCCTTTGAAACAAACACGCAAAAATGAATATTCCCCAAAGATACTTTCCTTCCCATCTGTTTCTCGAAAACCAAGCGCACCATTAGATATTAAACCTTGCTTAAATTAATGGCATTAGCCATTTACAAGTCAAATTTTGAAATTAAGATCAGTAAGTGTTTAATATGAATAATCTTTTACAGTCCAAGGGCTTGGTCTGATAAAGTCTTGATATTGGAAAGACTTACATTAACCAATTAGTAATTTAGTATCATAAAGGTGGTAAATGTTTTTAACAATGTATACGACAGTAAATTGAATGGATTAACGAAACAAGATTCATAATTGGGAATTGAGATAAGGCTTATGATAATGATGATGGCGATGGTGATATATTTGATAATTTATATTAAGTTGTAAGCTTGGAATCTAGTTTGGCCCGGGCTTATATTTCAGGCTTGGGTCTAGTAAGGGCCCGAGCCCCAACTATAGTCATTATATAGGTGCTTTGGGTTGCCCATCCAGCCCATGATCACTCCACTATTTTTTAGTAATTTTAAGAGCTCGATCCCATATCGGCATAAAAATAGTGTATTTAATACAAAAGTTAAAAACAAAAAATCCTTTTATTTTGGAAATAATACTTGTTAGGGGCTTGTGGTTTGTGGGTGACCCACTTGCACCATGCAAAGAGAAATGTGCATTATGTGTACCCACATTTGGGGGTGAGCAAATGGGTAGGTTCTACTTGAGATTGGATGGAATCAACTTCAGATAAGCCTTGAACTGGCCCTACATACCTAATTTGTTACTAAATAGGTCTAGTTCCAAATTTTTTTAACCAAATGCCATTCAAGCCAGTTCTAGAGTCCAATGCCCCACCCTACCCGAAAACCAAGCCAGGGAACCAGCTTTGATTAGCATTGGTGGGACCAACCTTGGCTAAGGATGTGAGGTTGAACCCAAGCACACATGGTTACAGAAAACATGGCCTCTCTTGACCATTAGTCACTCAAGTGATTTGACCATCTTTCTTCAATTTAATCTGTCTATATCTATACTATTATAAAAAAGCACAAATGAGAGTGTGAAACTTTTCTTGACTAAAATGCCCATATTTGTGTATTTAGTCAATTAGAGGGTTGAAAATGTAATTTCAACCAATAATGCTTTTCACCTCATTTAATCCCCCCTCATTAAGTCTTATATTTAAGGTATTAATTACCATCCTCTCTTATATCTATACTATTATAAAAAAGCACAAATGATAGTGTAAAACTTTTCTTGACTAAAATGCCCATATTTGTGTATTTAGTCAATATCTAATTATGAGGGTTGAAAATGTAATTTCAACCAATAATGCTTTTCACCTCATTTAATCTCCCCTCATTAAGTCTTATATTTAAGGTATTAACTACCATTCTCTCTTATTAAATCCTATAACTTTTCTTGACTAAAATGCCCATATTTGTGTATTTAGTCAATCTCTAATTATGGGGGTTAAAAATGTAATTTCAATTAATGATTTTCACTTCATTTAATCCCCTCTCGTTAAGTCTTATATTTAAGGTATTAGCTCTCGTTCTCTATTATTAAATCACATGTTTAAGATATTTTTTCATTAATAAATGTTACTAATTATATCAATGTCTAATAATTTTAACAATATAAAACCCATATATTTTAAAACATAAAGATGAAACCTTTATTTGTCCAAGTGATGACTAATCAATTCAACCATCCGAATAAAATTGGTCAACCATTGAAGTCATAACCAGATAATAAATTTTTTTAATATAAATAAATATAGAATGTTACAAAAATGTAGAAAAAGTTAGACAGTTTGTGATATATTATTAACCAATTTTAAAAAACAAGTGTAATAAATAATAATTATTTTTATTGGTGATGAAGATGAATTACATAATCTAAAACTAATCAAGAATGAAATTATTTTCCCATTTGGTAGACATCAATAGTTTAACTTTTGGGTCAAATGTGGCAACCTTTATTGTCATAATTAAATAATAAAAATTAATAAAATATAAAAATAAAAAAAGCATAAAAGTTACAAAAAAACATTTGGAAAAATGTACAATATAATATATTTATCATATTAAAAAAAATAAGTGTACATAATAGAATTATTTTTACACACATATAAATAAAAATTTATAGAAAAAAAAATGAACATAAATATAATTCTATATTTACACTATTATTAAAAATATGAATAAGATTGTGAAACTTTCTTGGCCCATTTTGTGAATTTAATCCCTATTTAATCGTGAGATTTAAAATATAATTTGAACTATTGTTTTTCACCTCATTCAATTCTCTCTTTTTAAATCTTACGTTTTTTTTATAAATGAACAAATGAAGCTACATAAGAAGATA